CATCTGCGGGACCCTCCTTCAGTGCCTGGTCAAGCGGCGCCACATCACCAACTTCCTGGAAAATGGTTGTATACGGACAGAGGAAAATGATTCAACAGCTGGGCCGGCAGAGACCACTTGTGAATTCAGGTGAAAAACAGCGGTTTCACATACAATTTTTTGCAACTTTTCTCTAAGTGCAAAAGTCAATCAAAATAAAGTCACCCCAAAAGACTAAATGCAACAAACTAATCAGGAGGTTGAGAGGATGCGCGGGGGGTTGGAGGAAGAGGGCCTGGGCCCAGGAATGCCAGGGAGCTGCCTGCCCCAGGCCTGCCCTCTCATCCTCTGCCCTTCCTCACAGCAGGACTCAGTTCACTGTGTGGGCAGCTCTTCCTGAGGCATGAGGGGTGGTCAGCAGTGGGCCTGCCCCCAGGGCACCGACAGAGAGCTGGGAAGGGGCAGCCTGCAGTCCCCTCAGGCCATGGGCCGCAAATTGGGTGGGCCTTGGGCAGGCTGCAGCCCAGCCTCGACCATCTGCAGAGTCCCTGGGCTGGGGGGTGAGGGGACCACATGGGAACCAAGACCCCCCCCCCACAAGGGGATGGCGCCCAAATTTGGGCTGAATTCCTCTTTAATGATATGTAATTTTGGAAGAGCATTTCAGAGCCTTCAAAATCAAACCCCGCACCTCATCAAACCTCCCAGAGATGACTTAAGATTTACCACCCAGACACAAGAATTGAAACAATGGAGCGAGGCAGCCCCGCACACAGCCCCTGTGACAGCACCATTTGTAGTCTGGACGCAACAGCCTCCAAACTCATCTGCTTAAGCAAAGCAGCTTCTGTTTATTTCACACTTTCCTGTCAAATGAATTCGGAATGAGAAAAAAAGTGACAGGCACTTTAGAGATACAAGTCACATTTCAGCTTCAGTTCATATTAAGGAACGTGCTGGGAAGCCAGCAAGGGTACACAGGCAAGCCCACAAATCTGAGAACAAAAAGCTAAATCCTCACTCAGCATGAGCCTCAGCCCTGGGGTGCAGAGCCCTGAGGTCAGTCCCAGGCAGCAGCGGTGTGGAGTCCTCAGGGCCCTGGAGCCCATCCCACCCATAGCTTCTGGGCCCAGGCAGCGGGAAGCCCAAGGCCACTGGCCAAGTGGCAGTACAGACGTGGTGCCACGGATGCCGCCCACAGGCAGGCAAGAGTCCTGCCTGGGAAGGGCCTCCTATCCCAACCAGGGCAGCGGCCACCTCATCCCCTATGGCTCTCAGTGGGCAGGCCCCAACAGAGACCCTGGCTGGCAGCACCCGCAGGGTCCTGGAGTTACTGCCCAAGGGCTTCCCACCTATGTCTGCCCCAAACCGGACTCATGCTGATCAGCTAGTAGACCCTGATGGCTAACTGACCTACTTCCAGCCCAGGCACCTTCTCTCCTCAGGTATTTCTGGGGTTGGAGCCTTGCCATGAAGTGCCAGCACCTCCCTCCATCTCCAGGCCAGACAGAGCCTGCAGTAGGGAAGGAGACACCAGGGTCTCCTACTTGTGGATGTGGGTTGTTACGCAGCCCCTCAGCTTCCCACATGTTGGGTCAAATCTGACACGGGGTTGAGAGTAGGTTTCTACCCAAATCAGAAGAGAGAGCAAAGTGCCCTTGGTTGGCACACTGCCACTTGGCCACAGTGCTGTGGGCTGGCATCCAGAAAGGAGGACCAGCCAAGGACTCTGTGCTCTGTGCCCTCTCCTTAGACACCAAGGCCTAGTCTGGGGATGCCTGCCTCCTGCTCCCCAGCAGAGCAGGGAAGGGGGAAAAGCACCAACCCTGGGCCAAGTGGGAACCAGCAGCAAGCAGGGGACAGGGTGGTAGTGGCTCTGCTGCCTCTGCAGCCCTTCTAGTGCCAGGCCCATGCCACAGGACCCAGTGTGGTGGGCCCCACCACGATGGGGGGTGCACCCTGGGCACAGGGAGCACTGGGACTCACCTAGGTCAGGGCATTTGGTGCAGGGCTACAGCACCCCGACTCTGACCCCGCCCCTGCCTGGGACACCTGGCTGCTCCAGGCGATTCTCCAGGCAGCAGCCCCATAGCCTCCAAGACCTCCACCCGGCCCTCCCAGCTTCCTGCTTGCCCTCCAGGGGCTCTCCCATGGCAGCTCCCCAGCCCCCACAGCTTCCTCTCTGCAATAACATCTTCACTCACCGTGAGTGCCTGCAGGAGGTGAGTTCCAAGACCACCGTGCACCAATGTAGGAGCTCTTGCCACAGGGTCACCTGCCTCACTTCCACTTATGCCCACCAGCCCCCTGCTCTGTCCACTAAGACTTCCAGGAATGCTGGGGCTTCTGCCCAGAGAGCTGACAAAGCTGCAGCTGTGCAGGGCAGAGGTCAAGGCTGTGGCCAGTTGCCCCCCACCGCTGGGGCCTCCTGACCACATGCAGGCGTCCCCATGATGGAGCTGAAGGCAGTGGGTGGCTGGGTACCAGACTAGTTGCCAGCCCCAGAAACAGGACTTTTTTGCTGCTTTGACAAGCCAAGCCCCGTGGGCAGCCAACAGCAGGGTTGGGTAGCTGGCGTCAAGCCACTCTAAGGCAGCCCCACGAGTGCGCAGGGAGCCTTGGTGAATGAAGCCAGCCTACCTGACAGCCACTTTTCCCATGGCCCTTGAGCCACTTGGCCCTCAGCATCCACCCCACCCAACCACACTCCACAGGCCCAAGCCCAGCTCCCCGAGGGTTCAGGGCTCTGGGCTCAGAGTGTGCCCTGAGTCATGACAATGGGTTAGACAGGCCTGGGGTGAACTAGTCAGGGCCCCCCATGCCCTTAGTTAACTTGTGGCAACCAGGGGTGGGCTCATCCATGCCTCCATGCACAGGAGGGTGCTGAGGCCTGGAGTACCAGGAACCTGTCCTTGGAGGGTTTAGCTTCCAGGCCCAAGCCAGGGTGGAAGGCCCTGCACTGTCTGGAGCCTGGGACAGCCCTGGAGAAGGGCTGCAGAGTTATCCAGAGGCTTCACACCCTACTCCCACCCGCTTTGTCAAGTTGGGCCCCTATGCCAGGACACCCAGACAGCCACGGCCCTTTCTGCAAGACAGTTGGCTGGGCATCACCTTCCCTGGGACCAGGAACCTGGGGTGAGCAGTGGCCATGCCAGGCTGACAGCTGGGTCTGGACCTGTCTACTGCCAGTACACCCAGAGCACCCACAGTGCCAGGCTGGCCTGCCACAACAGCCAGCCCCATCCGTCTGCCTGAGGTGGGATGTGCACAGCTGCCCATACAGCACTCGGATATTGTCCTGGCCCCCAGCTCCCCATGACTGTGGCAAAGGCATATTCCCCATCCTGTGCAGACCAGCAGTTCCCTGCCTAGTACACCCTGCCAACACTCCAGTTGACTATGCGAGGGGGCTGCTGGCTCGAGCACCTGGCCTCCTCCCTCCCTCTAGGAACTCCTGCCTTACCAGGCCTGCAGTTTCTGCTCTGACCCCATCAAGGCCCAGCACACTCCACACTGGCCTAGCTGGACCCAAACCTGGGCCTCTTTGGTGCTTAGAGATCAGGAGGGAGAGGCCCACTGATGCAGCCCTGATAAAAGTCACCCCAGCTCCCAGGCTATGCCCCTGGGATAGGCGGGGCCTGGCCAGGGCAGCCAGTGGGCCTGCAATGCCTACTGCAGGAGAAGGCGGAGCAAAAGTCAATAAATCTGAGCCTCATTCACGATGATCTGGGGCTCTTATTAAGTAAATTAATTTAAGTTAATTTAGCTCGATCATGACTCCCGATCACAGTGATTTAGTGAGGGGGAAATTGCATTAGAAAAGGCCATGCTCACCAGATAGGAGAACGGAAGAAAATTAGACCCACTTAGCACTGTGAATTAATATGGAAATAGCAGGTGTAAATTTAACCTTATCGAGAGAGTGAAAATTATCTTCATAAATTTGTAGAAATAGCCCCCAAGATGCTTATAAATCTATTTAAAACAAAAATATTACAAAAAGTGCACTAAAATTAATTTAAAATATACTTCCAGCTATTGCCTCTAGAAAACTCAGCAGCAGGGCTAAGTTTAATACAGCCTGGTGTTAAGAGAGGAGGGCAGTGGGTGCCACCGACCACCCATTAACACCTGCCATGGGCCAGCAGTCCTGCACCTCCTCTCCCTACATACCCAGAGCCAGCAGCCACTGTCCACCGGGTGCTGGGGCCCACGGGGGCTAGAAGGATGGTCCCTGCCAGGGACCATAGCTGCTTCAGCCTGTGGTCCAGCCCCTCAGGGCACAATAGCTCCCTACCCTACAGCCTCTGGCCAGAGGCCATGTGTCCCTGAGTGCCTGCTGTGCCCAGCAGATAATGCACACCACTCCCCTAGGAGGTAGGCTCCCAGGGGGCATCCAGAGTATAGTGGGAGGAAGTCTGTCACTGCCCAATTCCCACCCACCCACCAGGGCTGTCACCCATTCCCCCTAGCTGAAGGAAGGGGCGGCTGCACCCCTATGCCAGGCATCCTGAGCAGCTCATGAAGGGCCCCCTAATGCTTCCACCCTGACTTCCACAGCCCTCCTGTTCTGGGCCCAGGGCACCCAAAAAGAGCAGGTGCAACCACTGCTACCCTGCAGGCTGTCAGCCGGCAGCAGCCTGGGCTCAAGCGGCAGTGCTGGGGTTTGTGGGGAGGCCCCCTGTGCAGGTGCCGTGGGGAGGGCTGCAGCCTCACCTCCACCTAACAATCAGTGTGTCAACAGCAAGAGGGGCCCAGCTCCCAGAAGGGCTGCTCAGGGCCAGCCTCTCACCAGAGGTCTCTCCCTGAGGGGTACTGAGGAACGGCTATGGTGTGTCCAGCTGACGGCTTGCTAGTAATAGGAGGGCGTGTGTCTGAGCTTGTGTGAGACACACCTGCAGAGGCTGGCCATAGTGCAGAAATCGCTAAACGGGAAAATTAGCCCCTTTCCCAGCCAACAAACTGTGGAGCAAGCATTTCCACGTGGAAAGCCCACAGGCACCAGGGCAAGGGCCCTCTACCTGGACAGTGAGAGCCGCCGTGCCCGCCAGGAGGGCAGAGATGGGGACGGGGGGGCGCTGACAGGAGACGCCGGTGTCTTCTTGACAATGCGGTAGCGGGTCTTGATCACTTTGCTGGTAGGAGGGGTCCGCGGGGTGTGCACGCTGGACACTGCAAAGGAAACACAGATGTAGATGATGGGCGGAGGTCAGTAGGGACTCTGCCACCCCTTTCTCCAGCCCTACTCCACCCCATACAGCACACACATCCCCAGAAAGCTGGTGACCAGTGCTCCAGGAGCCACTGTGACCTCCAGGAGCGTGGGGCACAGGGCGGAGTCCTGAGACGCAGGTACCGGATGCTGTGTGCCCCAGGCCAGCTGACTGGGATGGCGTCGCAGGCCAGGGCCCCCAGGAGCAGCACCAGAGCCCCAGACTTGGGACTGGCCCCAACTCCCGGGAACTACTGGCGGGCAGTGAGGGGGCACATTGGTGGTCCAGGAGGCTGGGGTGCGGAGCACCTACCTCCCTCTCCGGGTTCCCCCCACCATGTGCCCCTGCAGGTTTGCACAGAAACATCATTTCTGTTTCCATAACATGTTGCAGGGTGATAGGCGCTGTGGCTTTTCTCGCTGAATGTTTCATGCAATTAACAGGGGTCTGTTTTGCCCGAGTTCCCTTCCACTTGATAGCTGGCAATTCCTCCATAGCTTGGAGGAATGCATCTAATTGACTGACTCTCATAATGTACAGCTCTAACTGCCCAGATAATTAAAGCTAACGCAGCACCCGCAGCTCATGACCAGCCCATGGCCAGCAGCCCCAGGGGGAAGCTCCCCACACACTCTGCCTGTCTGCACAGCACCCAAGGGCTCTGCTTAGAAGAGGGATTGCCAGCAGTACCCCAGAAGCAAGTGGCATCTCGGGGTTCCCACGCACAGAGACACAGCCACCAGGAACTGACCTGGGTCAGCAGGGGGAGGAGGGCAGCTATGAGGAGGGTGTGTGCGCCAGGGAAGGCCGCTGGGAAAATGAGATGGGGCCTCACCACCTCTCATCAACACAAAGGGAGGCCCAAGATCCCTGGGTGAGAAATGGCCAGCCTCAGCCAAAGGCCACCTGGGATCCAGACACACTGTGGCACCAGACCCATAGGTCCCCACACTCCTGCTGCTACTCTGACGGCAGATCAACACTCCATGACCCATTGCTCCCCTAAGCCCAAAGGATGCATTCTCCCAGCACCTGCAAACCCCCAACCCAGACCAGGAGCTCCCCATCCATAGGTTGTAACAGTAACTGCCACTCAGCTTCATCTTGTAGAACCCCAAACCCAACAGACCTCTAGCCACAGCCAGGCCCCCAAATCCACATCTCATGCCTCCTCTCCAGGCTCCCGACATGCCAGAACCCACCGTGCCCTGGGGACATGCAGGACAAGGCCGTCCCCAGGGGTTGCCACGCCCACAGAGCCAGAGGAACTGGCCCTGTGCTTTCTCACCCAAAGCCCATCCCTCAGGGCCACCCCCCAAGCTCGGGGCACCACAGCCTCTGCTTAGGCTCCCATCCAGGCCTCCTGACAGCCCCTGAATCAGAGGGTCTCTGTCTGCTGCCAGACTGAGGGGGCTACGCAGGCTCCCTGTACCAGCTTGTCTTCAGGGCACACAGGGGGCTTTGAGGTCCAGGGAGTGCGGGAAGCGGGGCATGCCTCTGGTCCCAGGACTGAAAGCAGGGACCCACAGCAGCTGCCCACCAAAGAGGCCATGGCACATCCAAGGGAGGCCAGGCAGGCACACCCCAGCAACAGGCGGGTCCCCCCTTCCTCTCTCCATCTCTCTGTCTCTTGCCAAAAGCTGCAACTCAGAGGGGAATCAGGATGAAAAGGGAAGCTCAGCAAAACCAGAGGTGCCGTGTCACCTGTATCACCTGGGACACCTGCTTCCAGAGTGACCCAAGTAAGCAAATCCTTAGTTCTGGGCACCCCACACACTTGGGGTATAGGGGAGAGCCTAGTATACAGTGGGCATCAATAAATAAATGTTTACTGAATTGAATTTCAAGGTTTTGCAAGCAAGGAGACCAATGAAAGTCAGTAACAGCTTGTTCCATCTAAGAACTTAAGAACACGACGATTCCTTTGCGTTATGTCAAGCCCCAAGCTGACCCCACGGCCTCTGAGCCCCCACCAGGCTCCATGCTCCCTCAGCCCCTGCATGTGGACAGTCCAACAGCCCATCCCCACTCGCCAGGGCCCACTGGCCTGCCCACAGCCCCATTCTCATCCTGTTCGTGCCCTGCCCATGGGCCTCCAAGGGCGGCGGCTACTGCCTGCTGCTCTAGGACGTGACCTGCACCCTTAGAGCCACAGGGCCCTAGGGAGCGTAGCTCAGGTCCCTGCCAGGGGCTGACTCACCAATCTTGTAGCCTTCACTCTAAGCACAGGGAGCCCCCAAACCTGTCCAGCTCTGCTTCCCTTGCCCAGATGCACAGCTTTGCCTTCTCTGGCCCCTCTCCCTGGACCAGCAGATGCCAGGTCCTCCAGAAAGACCCCAGCCCTCAATGCCCACGGGACTGGATTTTAGAAAGCCCCACCCTGCATGCGGTGCTCAGCCTGAACTAGCCAGCACCTCTAGGCCTGGCCCTCCTTCCTGCCTGTTAATAGGCATCAGTACTTATATAACGCATTCCCGGGGATGCAGGCCTGTTAGTGAGGCAGACTTTTCACTAACTTACCGAGTTTTACTTATTAATGCCCCATTACCGGTCACAAAAAGATGTAAAGTGGTAAGCACACCACAGAGGCCCCCTGTCACTTCCTGCACATTGCCACCTGTTAGACCCTTCCCACCTGTGGTCCTGAGAGGTCCAGGGTAGGGAGGGCACACCAGCCACCCCGCCCCCACAATTAGGCTGTCACCCCCAAAGCCCAGTCTACAGTACCCATCCCTCCCTAACAGGCAGCTCAGATACAGCAGTGAGTATGCTCATGATTAAGGCCCTGGAGAGAACCGTACAGGGCATCCCTGCCAAGGCACAGAGCTTAGCAGGGAGTTGAGAGGCTGAAACTGCCTGACACACAGGGCCAGGGTGCTGGGGTGGAGGGAGAAGGGCCCGCGGACATGGGTGCCCAGGCCTGGCCCTAACCCCACAGCCCTGGGAGGGCTGGCACAGCAGCCACCGCCAGGCAGCAGTCTCCCTTCCTCCTGGCTGGCTGAGGGTTTGTGTAGATAATCATGTTATTTAGATAGGATGTTGGTTTAATTCCCTTCATTACAGACTCCCGGGGTTGTAATTTTTTCTCCACATGATGTATTCCCTGTGGCACATTTCACTCAAATCAAACCCTCTGCGCTTTTATTGCAATGATGCCCGGGCGCTGCGTTATCAGGCCCACACACACAGCCCTCTCCACCCCACCATGCAGAGGTCACGTCTAATGACTAATCGATCTCATTAGCTTTCCTAATTAAAAACTTTACTACCGCAATGGAAGACAAACTACAGGAAAACTGCTGGCATCATATCTGAATGGGACATGAGCCCATCCATCAGCAGGCCCGCTCTCCTACACACAGTGCTGGGGCTGGGGCTGGGGCTGCCTGGCCTCTCAGCCTCTGGTGTTTCCAAGGCTGTCGGGGCTGTGGGGTGAGCTCGGGCAGCTTGCACAGTGTGCTGTCAGGAAGGGAGAGCACCCAGGCCCAGGGAGGCTGGGACCAGCCCCTACCTGCGCCCCTCTTGGGGCCTGAGCAACTCCAGGTGGCAGGTTCCCAGGGCACTTGGCACTGCGGCCCCGCCCAGGCCCTGGATGCAACACCTCCTCAGCCCAGCCACCGCCGACAGCAGAGCCCATCAGATGGAGGCCACAGCTCTCACCTGCTCCGACTGCAGGAGTTGAGGGAAGTTCAGATTTTTATAGAATTTTGAAGGTAAATTAACCATGAAGAAAATGAGCTCACAAGCGGCTTAGGGAGCTGAAACCAGAGCTGTGGCTCTGAGGTCACGAGCAGCAGAGGAAGCCCCCAGCTGCGTCCAGCCATGCATGGGCTCCCAGCGTGCCCAAGGAGGCAGGACAGTCTCCACCAGGAAAGGTTTGGCGGGGAAAGGCAGCGACCAGAGACCCAACACCCCAGGTAGGCGCTGACCTTACCCCAGGTCCCACAACTTTCCGTCCACCAGCCTGAGGACCTTGCCCAGCAATGGGCCACAGATGGGGCACTAAGGCCTCCAGAAACAGGCAGACCAAGCTATAGGCCCAGGAGGCCACAAGATGGCAGAACTGTGCACAGCAGGGCTTCCCACCCCTGCTCCAGAAGCCTCTTCCCTGAGCCCGAGGACCAGGCAGCCTGAGGACCAGGCAGCCTGAGGAGGCAGCCGGGGTGTTGCTGCTGAAGGCACAGCCCGAGGGCACGGTGGCCTCCAGTCCTTCCTCCCAGGGTTGGAGGGGAACAACAGCTGGGCAAAGGCCAGTGACCAGTACCTGAGCATGGGACTCCCCAGATCAGCCACACAAGGCGCCTGTGCCAGTGGACAAGGCGGGTGGAGCCTGCAGGCACCTGGAAGCCTAGCCTCACTCCTGAGGGAGGGGCACCAGCCAGGCCCCACGGGGAGAGGAGCCGGCAGGAGTCAGCAAGGTGCCTGGCTCTCAGGGCCACGGCAGTGTGGCCGGGGTGAGGGACCCCACCACGTACGGGGATGGCCTGGGCTGCAGCCCTGCAGTCAGTTTAAGCTTTCCCATCCCCAGTTTGCTATGATTCAACCTTCTCCATATGTTACCCGACCTGCTTTTTATCAAGAACTACCCTGACACTTCGATATCCGCAAACTACGCGCACTCCTTACCACGCGGACAGCCCTTAAGGTCGGGTCACAGCCCTGCCTCGGAGCCACACCGAGAGCTGATCGCTGCTCTTCTCCCTCTCAACCACTCCCTCTTCCCAGGCAGCTTGGCCCCAATCATCTGGCCTGTCCTCTTGCCAGTCAGCACCCCCACCCACACCCACCTGCCTCATGCCACCCACAGCCCCCCACCTGACCAGGACCTCTGGGTGCCACCAATTAAAAGCAGTTGTCACATCCAAATTAGCTCTTCCTGGTTTCTATGGTGTGAAAGGTATTTTTTCCTATCTCATTACAGTTTTTGATGACTCTGTACTCTAGACCCCTGGCTCTGGT